ATACCAATTTAACATCCAGAGAAGCTGACAAAAATGTCACTAGCCCAACTTCACCTCTGGGGACTTGGCCAAAAGAAAATCCTGCCCATGAGAAGGAGTAAAAATCTACAGAAACTGCATTTGGAACTTCTGCTAATAAGAAAATAAGAAACGACTTCATGTCTATGAATAATGAAATGTAGAAATAAAATAGGGCATTCATTAAACGGTTAAATTTAGGAAATGAATATTCCAGATACAGAGTGTTCAAATATAGAACACTGAAGGAAATGTTGCAGAGTGGCACATTCAGTAGGAAAGCATCTATGTGGACTTAAGGCATGTATAACCATGCCTGCCAGTGGATCAGATGACTTCACATGCACTGATGGCAAGGAATCTCACCGGGAGAGGAAAGAGGTACCTGAGCCTCAAAGTAAATGAAGGTTACTTTGGTGTTACTTAAATGTTTAAATTATTTTGAAGTGGAAATGATAGAAGATTAGCATTTTTTATTCTAATAACAAATCACTAAATGTTCTGGATATTTCTCTAAATCTTAAACATTAAGAAATATTTAACTCATTCAATGCTTTTAAAAATAAAACATGAAGAACTTCAATTAATCTCTTTTGCTATGACTTTACTTTCAGAACAAATAAGTTTTTACCATGAATATATCAGTAGATATCAGGATGAAAATTGAATTTGCTAATATGTTGTTGCTGCGGTTCAACACTCTAGAAATTGAGGATTTACATAAATATCATTTTAAGGCCAGGTAGTTTGTGACTAAATAAATTATTTTTCTTCTCTTTCTCCTTTCCATTTACATGGATCAAAATTCTACTTGTGGACTACCACTAGCATTGTTGGTATAACTACTTTTTTGAGACCTTCACGTGATCAAAGTGTTTGCTCACATGGTGTCCAAGGGTGACAGACCCTTGGAAAATCCTCTTCAGTGCTTGTTCTTCTGGCTTATTACCTTGTCCAGTACTTCTATTCTAACATTAAGTCTTTGATTTCACAGAAGGAAGGCCACTTGGAATTCATTAATGAAGAAAGGAACTTGAAAACTATGTTCAACGATGAGAACATTTCAGCCCATGGGACCACTCCAGACCCAGCCCAAGCCCAGCCTGAGTAAGAACTTCCACCATGCTCTCGGTACCCATCCAGACCCAGCCAAAGACTAGACCAGGCAACTGTGTGGGAGAGCTTCTGCACTCCCCTGTGCCAGCAGGACCCCACCACACCCAACCTGAGCCCAGCCTGTGAGTGAGAATTTCCGGCGCAATCTCAGTACCCCGCCAGAACCAGCCCAGCCTCAGTGAGGGTGTGGGAGAGCTTCTGCACTCCCCTGCATGTGCTGAACACCTCCGTACCCAGTCCAAGCATGGCCTACCCAGGCTAGGCCTGGCATACAGGCCTGGGGTGAAACTCAGCAGCTGAAGTCATTGCAGACAGGCTAGGGGCCAAAGCCAAGGAGCTAAACATCTCCCCAGAAGGGCACAACAGGTTCACTTCTAAGGAATGCAGCAGAAAGAAGTTGAGCATAGCAGCTAGACCCAAGCCAGGCACAAGTGGATGAATTCAATCTTCATAGATCTACACCCTGATTGCACAAGGTGCTGAAGTTATAATGATACCAAAGCTCTACTCTAAAGGACAGAGAACTATGCTATACAAAATGACAAAGAGAAAGGGCAAAATGCAACCCAGGCCCTGGACAACAAAGAACAAGTCCACAGGCAATAGCACAGAAGAAATTGGGAATCACACAACTGAAATATCTGAATGAATAGCATCTCAAGTAAAGAAACAACTGCAGAAAGGTACAGAGGAAAGCAGATCAGAAAGAATGGCTAAAATAAAAAAGAAATCTCTGAATTAATGGCATCTGAAGTAAAGAATAATATAGAGAAAATTAGATTACAAGTAATCTCTGAAGTAAAAAAAGAAAGGATAAATATAATGAAAGAATTAATGAAGACACTGATTAAAAAAATAGAGGAAATTATAAAAATGATGGAATCCTTGAATGAGCAATATACAAAAGAAATACATCACGTAAAGCAGGTCAGAGAGATATAGAACAACCTAAAATCTCAACCACAAGCTTGAAAAAAATCTTTGAGTGAAAGTGAAGATAGAGTTTTAGATCTTGAGGATGCTGCAGCAGCTAGTGAAAAGGTAAGAAGACATCTGATAAAAACAACTAGGATGCAAGAAGAAATAATTCATCACAAGCAAGACAAAGCAACAATTACCAATGTGAGATTAATAGGCATCAATGAGAAAGAAGAAGTCAATACAAATGATGTGAAAAGAATATGGGCAGAAGGAATAGCAGAAAACTTCCCAAATACAGTGAAACAATCTGATATTCAGAAACTGACGCATACAGAGCTCCAAATAAAGTCAACCAAATTAAAAACACATCCAGACAAACACCCTAATGCTGCACCAAAACGTCTAGAAAAGGAAAAACAAACCAAACCTGAAGGCCACAGACTGGAAGAAATCATTAAGATTAGAGAAGAAATTATTTCAATTGAGACAAAGAAAACAGTTGAAAAAATTCACGAATCAAAAACCTGGTTCATTGTCAAATTCAAAGTCTTGATAAACTCACAGCTGAATTCTACAAGAAATTTACAGAAGATATAATCCCCATACACCTCAAAATCTTCAATGAAATTGAAAAGGAAGCAATCCTAACAAAATCATTCTTAGAGGCAAGTATTACACTGATACCCAAACCAGGGAAAGACACAACTAAAAAAAGAGAAGTACGGGGCAAACTCCCTCATGAACATAGACACAAAAATCCTCAATAAAATCCTAGCAATTAGGATACAGCAAATCATGAGGAAGACCATACACCATAACCAGGTGGGAATCATCCCAAGGATCCAAGGATGGTTCAATATACACAAATCTATAAATTTAATACACTGTATAAATAAAGCCAAATCCAAATCCACATGATCATCTCCATGGATGCAGAAAAGGCATATGAGAAAGTCCAACACTCATTCATGTTCCAAGTCCTACAGAAAAGTGGAATAGATGGCCTCTAATTCAATCTGATAAAAGCCATCTATGTCAACCCAAATGGCTAACATAATTCTAAATGGAGAAAAACTGAAATCTTTTACTCTCAAATCAGGTACAAGATAAGGATGGACTCTACCACCACTCCTATTCAACATAGTTCTGGAATCATTAGCTAGAGCCATTAGGCAAGAGAAAGAAATAAAAGGGATAAGAATAGGTAAAGAAGAAGTTAAGCTATCAGTATTTGAGATGACATGATACTCTGCTTTTTTTTCTAGTATTACACAAGCTTTAATTTCTATGAAAATATGTAATGTGGTCACTTTGGAAGCATATACAAAGTCCAAGGTTAGTAATAGGACCAACAAGTAAAACTAGCTTTCTGGCCCCAGTCCCTGTGGCCCCAGAGTCTCCTGCATTCCTCTACTAATGGCTCTGCAGTATGAAAAAAGAACTACCATCTGTAGAGGTCGCAGCATGCTCTCTAGCCACCCACAGGCTGCCTTCTTGGCTTTGGGTGAACAGGAAATGCCATTTCTGCATGGGTTCAAGGCATGGCTCATGACCCAGAAAACAGTTCAACCCACCGATCGCTGCTAATACTCAACTCCTTTCTGACCACTGTTCTACAGATTTTGAAAAGAACCTAAATCCACTAGTTAACTACTTTAAAAGACTAATTTTCACTATTTTCAGTAGCCTCAGTAACTAAATCCACTAGTTAACTACTTTAAAAGAGTCATTTTAGCTATTCTCAGTAGCCTCAGTACTTCCCTATCAGTTGAGAATTCAGTAATGAAAATAATATTTCAGTGCCCTGTAGCAATGAATAAGCCTTTACTTGCTCCTGCTGGAGGTGTGTGTGACCCTCAGGCATCCACAAGCTGACTGGAGGGCCAGGCTCACCTGGGTTGAATTTGTTTCTTTACATCTTACCCTAAGGCATAAAAAAATGAGTACCTTTCCTTCCCTCCTCCCCTAGTCACTGTCCTCTCTGTCTTCAATGGATCAGGTACAAAGTGTAAGTGACCAGGAAATAGGAATTTCAGAGAAACAAATCAAAGAAAAATCAAAAACACTAAAGCGCATTACTCACGGCAAATGAAATAGAGAAGCTCTCTAAGAGCCAGAAAATTCCCTTCAGCTGTTCCCTTATACCTGTAATTTTCTCTGAAGCTTAGTTTCCTCATTTGAAAAAATCAGGATATGAATTTTATTTATTTATTTTTTTATTTTTTGGCGGTACCAGGGATTGAAATCAGGACCTTGTGCTTGCCAGGAAAGCACTTATTTTAATGAGCCATTTCCCCAGCCCCCTGTATTTGTGTGATCTCCAAAAGAAAACAGGGCACATGTTCATGCTGGAAAGTATATCAACCTTATATTTAGTAATTATTTGGTATGAAGGAACTAAATTAGCCTGGATGAGAGCATCTTCTCCTTGTCCACTGCATTCCTGTTTCATTTACTTATTCATTTTTTTAAATGTATTTGGTACAGGGTCTCACTACAAAGCTCTTACTCATAGTGATCCTCTTGTTTTCAAGGATTACAGGTGCATGACACCAGACACACTCTCAGTGGCCCGCTCAGTGCACCCGAGAGTGGTGCCAGCATGGCAAGTGTTGCCGGGGATGGAACCCCAGTCCCTGCACTTCCTGAGTGCTGGGATTACAGGTGTGTGCTACTATGCCCAGCTGATTGTTTTGACAGAGAAACAGAGAGAGAGAATCGAAGACAGAAATGAAGAGAAGAGAAACAAAGAGAAGCAAAACAAAGTGAAGCTGGAGAGATAGCTCAGTAGAATAAATACATCCCTGGCAAGTGCAAAGGCCTGAGTTCGATGTTGAGGCCACAGAGGCAAGAGAGGCAGACCAGGGATCCTAGCAGCAGAGGTAAATGAATACTTGCTTGACAGAGAGTAAAGGAGAATTGAGGGGCAAATGCTCCATCTCCCTTAGCCAGTCCTCCTGCTAACATCAGGGCAGCTGTAACTCCTGCATAACTCAATCATCTTCCAAATATGTCAGGCATTAGGGATTAACTTAAGAGAAAAACACAACCTCATATTTCTAACTTAAAATTTAAACTTTTACTCCATCAACTACACTGGATGCAGATGAATCTGATGCTCGTACCTATGCTCCAGTGTTAACTAAGAGCACAGTATTCCACAAGCCTTTTATTTACTTTTACTCAGAATCATTGCCAAGTTAGGCTGAGTTGATACATAGTACCTGGCATACAAGGGATTAATGTTGATGAAGGAAACACATTGAAAATTCACATAAGGGCCAAAGATAGAGCTCAGTAGTATTAACACCTACTGGGAAAGCACAAGGTCCTCAGTTTGAATCCCACTATTAGTGTATATATGAATGAAAGATGGAAAGTAATAATGCAATGAGTTAATAAAACTCCATATTAGTCTAGAATCACCCTGAATGGCATTGTACCATGATAAAGTAATACTGCATTTCAGTTTGCTATAAAATCTATCAAATGTCAGATCAAATTACATATGACGATTACACGAGTATGTCTGTTAGAAGAGCAGAATGAACACAGTACTTGGAAAATGTTAACTATTTTCCATCCTTATCAGATCAGGGCCTTGGAGCTTCATTTTATGATGCATCAATTTTATAAGAGAAAATTATGCATTATGACTTGTTAGCAAAACAAAAACATCTAGAATCTGTGTGGAATGGACAAACTGAGGCAAGAAAATAAATGTTGGATAGAGATGGAGGGCGAATTTCTTCTTGCCATCAAGTGGGGATTTGGTGCCCACAATCCAAAGCAGGAAATGGTTGTTGAGAGTATGACCAGGGTTCCAAGTAGAAGGGGTCAATGAATACTTGCTTGACAGAGAATTGAGGAGAACTGAGGGGCAAAAACAATCAACAATTTGAATATATGAAATTCCTTGAGAAAACAAAAGCTATATGACTCTGACTAGGAGATTCATCTGTGGAACCAACCCATTACTAGCTGAAACTTTCTGGTAAATCTCTTGACCCAGAATACTTTTATAACTACAAAACCCAGAGAAACTCCACGCAACACATGAAAGAAAACACACACCCTAGAACTGAGGTGGGGAGGGAGAGGGCAGTCCCTGCTGGGTCATGTTATTTTTTAAATGAAGAGCCTAAGTGACAGTTGGGGGTATGCGGATGGAACTCTTTTCTGATTGGCTCCCAGTTACCAGGCTACTATAGGATACACTCCAACTGCCCTATTGGTCTTGCAATGAGACCTAATGGGTAACTGCTTGTGTTGGAAAGGGGAAAATGCCAGCTCCAATCCAAAGGAATTCCAAGAAAAACCAGCTATTGCCTGGTGGATTCATTTTGAAAGTGAGTGGGACTCCTGTCCAGTAGTTGGCTTTCTTCGGCCTATGCTCTTGTGGTTTGGATTTCAGGCTGAGTGTACCTTGCTTTCCTACATATATTCTTGTCCTGTCTTGTGAGTCCAGGGTATTTCTTCTCTACACTAACACACAGTTCTTGGTCCTCTTTCTTCCCAAATCTCGTTCGAATCCTTCAAGCATTCTGCACATTATGTTATGTAAATATACTGGAGGGTTTTTTTGTTTATTTTGATTCGTTCTCTTTTTTGTTTGTTATATTCATTCTATTTTCTCAAAATTCAAATAGTACACCATACACTCATAAAGCCAATTTCCCTCATTTTACCTACACTAGCACCTAAGTCAAGGGGACAGGTAATACCTGATTCTTCTGTTGCTCATGCCATTCAAAACAGGGATGCACTAACAATTCAAACCCAAACACTGAGGCTTTCTTAGGTAAATTCTGGGAGAGCTTGTCGTAGAGTCTTATGTGTTATTTTTCACATTGTGTCTATAAAAATGTTTGCCTCCTTCTACCTGAAATTTGAGTTCAGAAATAAAAATTGTGCCAGGGAGACTTTCACGGGGCAAAATGTCAATGGAGCACAAGTTACTTTTTTCCCCTTTGCCCTCAGATTTCTGCTTACATCATGTTTCCCAGTTCAAATCTATAATCTTTTTTGCCTGTTCTAAAGACAGGTGAGGTTGATCATAGGATTTGGGGGTTTGGCAAAATTTCAAAAGAGAAATCATAAAAAAATAAAATTAAATTAAATAAAAATAAAAAAATTAAAAAAAAAGAAATCATCAGTTTAGAGGTGAATTAGGAGAGTAAAGCTGGGGCATTCATGGGGCATATATTGCCATCCCTAGGGTTTTGCCACCTCCCTCGTGCTACCTTCCTAACCCACCTGTCAGAAGAATACAGCACAACTGCTAAGAATGCTAGTGTGAAAGCAACTGCTGCAGGGAAGAAATGACATATTTGATTTGAACCATGCGAATGACGGGAAGGGATCAATGTAGGTAAAACCAATTGTAAGTTACAAATTTGTAACATACAATTGGTTGTTGATTGAAGACTGCACTGTTTCCCTTGGCAGAGTGTTGGGGATAGAAACCAAGGCCTTTGCATCTACCTCTATGCTCCCGCATTTGAAAAAAGATTGGGGAATATTAAGAATTGATAAAGAGCTTGATCCACAGTGTGGGTCATTGGAATCTACAAGGGAGAAGTCAGGCAGGAGTAAATACTACACTATAGCATGAAGGACCCCTGTCTATTGCAGTAGAACCTCTCTCATGAGGCCAACGAGCTCCAAGCAGTAGAAAGTAGGCACACTGACAAAATCACCACTTTAAATGATAGATAGATATCTACAATGGTTGTATTGTGGATCAGAAAGACAATCTAATGGACACATCAAAGACAAACAAGCAAGTTGGCAAATGTTGTAGCCTTCAAATAAAAAGGCATCCAAAAGCTGTCTCATAAACTGTGGACATAATCTAATGAGAAGAAATATACTGAAGTCAGTGTTTCTACTGAATTCTGCTTATTCAATAGTTTGTTGATCATTGCCTTCTCTACCATTTTGATGGGAAAAAGTAGCTTTGAACAATCTGCTCATGTTAAATTTTAATGCTTTAGTAATGCATTCCACTTATTCCAATTCACAAATGGTTCTTTATGTTTTCAGCAGTTCTGCAATCGAGATGGATTTTCCACTGATTAGATATCAGTAATGTTTTAGACATTTCTTTCACCGATGTTTACATGTGGATGATTTAAATTTTCTAAACTGTTTCTCGTATAACAGCCCATTATGCAGTCTAATTAACTTTAAGTTTTAACTCATAATATTTGTGGATCTTCCAAAACACCTCTAATCATAATCTCTAATCATAGTTTGAAACATTTCCGTAGGTTTCTAAAAACCTTTCACGGATTTACAGAACTTACATGGTAACCAAATTCTTTCCTTTCTGGACATCTCTTTCAATTTCTCTGTTTGTGTATGTTTATGAGCCCTAATGATTTTCTATGAATATTAGTTTCACATTGGTAATACTGAAAATAAACAAGGGGGATTTAATCAGTGCCTCATTGACTCTTGGAAATAGTTACTGGAGAGTACAGTGACCATAGTGTGTATATGAGTTTTGATGGAATAAGATCCATCTGTGTTGTATAGAAGATCAATATGTGGTATTTACCATGATCAGAAAGTGCAAGGTATCGGGAATTATGTGGTGGGTCACAAGCAAAACCAGTCTTTCTTGAAAACAGCAAATGACAATGTTTAAACTCTAGTGAATACAACTAGATGTGAATCTGAGGTACACACACAACTGATATGAAACTCAGCAATGTGAATATTCCATTATTAAGTATAGGACAGATGTCAAAATGCCCTCTGATGTTTGCAAATTACAGACACAGTAATGCTCCTCATGCACCTCTGCAGGATTTGAATTCCCAGAAACAGGGTAGGAGTTAAAACTGTACCATTGGTGGGCTGGCCAAAGAGCTCAGTGGATTAAAGCACCTGCAAGCAGGAGCAAGGTTGGGAGTTCCATCCCTAGACCTTCTGTGCTGGCCTAACCCCCAGGGTGCCCTGAGATTCAGATTGAGACTGGGCATGGTGGCACGCACCTATAATCCCATCACTTGGGAGGCTGTAAGCAGAAGAATCACTATGAGTACAGTCTAGTAGTGAGACCCCATAATCCTGCAGACCCTTCCTTAAAAATACAGAAAAAAAATTGTACCATTGGTAACATTTTATCTGAAAGTTCCCTTATGTCTTTTCAAAGGCAAGTGAACTGTGTATGTTCACCCAAGAAATCATTCCTTTTTGTTTCATGAGTGGACCTTTAAAATATTTCCTAAGCAGAAGAGATGGTTTATAGAATAGATTTAACAGATGCCTAAATCTTTCAAAAATAGGGGATTGATTGGAAACATAATG